CAAGGATGACTCAATCACCAGCCGATTGACTCAAACGGAGCCTGATTTGAGCTTCCCATTTATCCAAAGCAGGGGCCAAAGCAGTGGTTGGGGACATTATGTTGTCCCTCAACTACCAGGATCCCCCTTTCCGGCATACGGGACACCACGCACGGCAAACACGTGGTTGGGCGTTCAGATCCCAGGGATGAAAAAAAGAATTACTAAACCATATCTGGGAGGTCCCTTCACCACGGACAGAAACACACATCGAGGGGCTGTACATTCAGACACTGACGTATTTTGCAAAGTATGTAATTGCATAATACAAGTGAAAAATAGGTTTACAAGCACTTTTTGATCATGGAGGTACTGTCAAACAGAAACAAAAACTTACCTGTGCTTATGGTCCAAGACAGTTACACCTGACATTGATTGCACCAGGTGATAGTTTTTCAGGCCCCTCAAAAAATGATGAAATTCCAAATAATACTGATAATGGGACTGGAGAAGGAACAGCAACTGTTTTTGTTTATATAATCCAAGAGATGCTGCATACCATGCAGAACTTGTGTGGTCTATGAAAACAATATGTATTAATTTCTCATTTGCTGCATCTAATAATATGGTTCCAACACTACAAGCAGTGCTTCCAAAAACTAAATTTCCTGAATTTTCATCAATGAGTGGGAAGAAATTGCACTATTTCATAATTGAAGCATTGGCTCCCTACTTCCAAAAAAAATGCTAGAAAAAACCCACTGTTCATTCTTTACAATTAGTTATGATGAAACCAGTAATGTGGAAAGTAAGAAAGAGTTACAAATAATGATTAGGTTTTGGTCAGAGCAAAAAGAACAAGTTTTAAACTACAATAAATTTATGAATGGAGTTGATATGATATGATGATGAATGCGTACTTGGATGAAAGGAAAACCCTCAAATATTTTAAAAAAGTAGCATTCAACATCATAGCCAGGATGATGTTGAATGCCTACATATTGTACAAAGAAAATTCCGGAAGCCAAGGCAAGAAATTGTCTCACGCCAATTTTATTGTGGCGGTGGTAGAAAGCCTGGCGAGAGAATGGAGGGAGAAGCGTGGAGTAGCAGAAATTCAAAATCCCCAGGGACCAAAAGGAATTAAAAAATTACCTGGAAGAACCGCCCTTCGTTGTCGTGTGCAGCACATCAAAACATAAGAAGACTACAACAAAAGCATGCACAAGATGCAACAGGGGTGTGCATGCCAATTGTCTTGTAAAGCATCACTGCTAGCACAAGGTATGTGCATAAATTCATATAATTATAATTCTGTTTTAGTTTTAGCAAAATTTATCCATATATATGTGTACAAAATGATCTTTCTTACAGATATCATCTCTTTTGTTTTTTCCCCCCTAAAGTATGTGCGCTAGCAGACGAGGTAGGTAGTGCATAGTTATTATCAGAGTTATATATGCATGATTCTTGCAAAATGTACAAAACGATATTTTCTCTTACAGATTTGGATCCCGGAGGATGTTCTGTTTCCGCTTCTCCCTCCATTGTGTACGTCTACATTTATTTATTGTATTTATTTATTTATTGTAGTTATTCTATAAGAAAAAACTTCATTTACAATATATATCTTTTGTTTTTGTAAAAACTAAAGTAAATATATTTGCTGTTAATTGCTGTCTGTATAAAATTTCAGAAAATTAGAATTTTGTTTTTATGTACAAAGTATGAAAGAAAACAAGCAACTTACTATTATCTATGAGATAGCTTTCATCGACAGACATTTCCTGATGAGGAGTGTAGTGGTGTCAGAACACCCTGTTCGCATGATCCACAAGAGGCTGATATTTGGCAATGCGACCATAACCCAATTCTCCAATACCAGGTAACTTGGTGTTATCGATGAGATGGAAGAATCGTAGCAAGTGATAAAAGCAGTGTCTAGAAAACATTTTGCCAAATCACGGAGTAGCTAGGGAGGGAGAAGTGGACCAGTATGAAGCTATAGTTGGTTTTTGATTAGACCCATATTCAGAACACACGCCAAAAATCCTTTCATCTCTGGAAAAGAGACTTCGGACCAGTCCTTCAAATAAGATGGTACATTATGCCCTATGCCATTTATCACTTGCTGAGAATACCGATTGGTTTCTTCTACCATAAGAGACAGCAAAGTACTAGTGAAAAACAGATAGAAATATGCGATAGGAGGAGAATCGGGAGGTGGCATATGTTTTGGGCCAGATTCCTGTTAGAAAGTGAAAGGAAAAGGTTCTTCCAATGAGAGAACCTCGCAATAGTCCTCATCTTCCATTTCGTCATCACTGTCAGAATGTGCAGCGGAGGAGGAGAGAGGCCACATCATCTTCAGGCTCATAGTCTTCATCTTCAAAACTAGAGAGGGAGAAGCGACTTGGAGAAGACACACCCTTTCAGAGTGGAGGTCGTCTCCATCTTCAAAACTGCTTAGATCAAAGTCATTTTCAGAGGCAACTGACATTTAATCTGAATACTCTATTTCAGAGTCACTCATTTGGCTTTGTTCAGACATTTTCTTGAAAAATCCTAATTTAGAATTAAAAAAAAAGTATTACTGTAGAAAATAATACAGTACAGTAGAATCTCGTTATTTTGGACAGATTCAGTTTTTCAGCACTCCCCGTCAGTGTGGCACAAATGAAATTTTCTACTTACCACTCAGTATGTGCAACAGACAGAATGAGGTACAGTGCAATACAGCTGTATTATTATCAGTTAGTTGTTTGTTGCACATGCGGAACATCAAGTAGTTTTTGCTGCATTAATAATTACAGTGGTTTTTGTTGCGGACTGGCACATTGGAAGGGGGATGAGTACCAAGCGTCACGTGACATTTCTCGGAATGACATTCGGTCATGTGACTACTCACTCGTGATGTGTTTCCTGATAACTTAATCCTTCTTTAAGATTAAATTCCTATACAGTAATTCTAAATTAAATAAATAGAAATTTCTTATCTAGATTTACAAAAATATGATTTTATTTTAACATTTAAACTAAAGTGATATAACAATATTATACGTATAATTTATGTAAGATAGGTGACTAATTACATTTAAAGACTTTTGTTTGCTTTATCTAAAACAATAGATAAAGCGTGCGTTAGTGTAATAATCAAACTTTTTGTATTGACTGACCAGTACTTTTGTGAAATTAAATAATTATTAATTTAAAAGGTTTACATTTTTTTCATAGTTACAACTGGATAAGTATTTCCTCACTGGAGATATTATGCAGCAAAAAGGTAAAAAGTCGGTACAGTATGAAGTTTTTGGAATAACGACTGTAATCTCACACAACTGCAGTTATACTTTTAAGAGAGTTGTGGGGTCCCGGGGATAGAGTAGGTCCCTTCAGCTGTAGTTTTTTCAAACAAATTAAATATGTAGATTATTTCTTTATTAATAAAAAGCAATCATAAAGATTTTAACATTTTCTGTTAGTAAATATAACATTAATAGGAACCACGACGGGGCCTGGGGAAAATCTCTAGACATATATAGCAATACTGTACAGTACAATACAATATAATTACATACAATACAAGTGAGAAAAATTCAATTGTAGATTGCTTTATACTTTATTTTCTATTTTTTTAATTTGTTTCTAAATAAATGAATGAAAAGTCACTAAGATTTGTTACATAGGAAAAAAGGTTATACAAATATTTTATAGCAAAAGATTTATCAAACATAATGGATGAAAAATGGACTAAATAAAGTTTAGAAAAAAAGGCATTATTTAAAAAATGATCAGTGCAGTTTTTAAATGTACTGTTTGCATCGAATAAAATACAAAACTGTTAAACTTTGAATGCGTATTTTTTCTAATGTTCGCACTAACAAACTGTTACATTCACAGGCGAATATCAAACGATAATATGCCAATGAATCAAATTTGCAAAAAATTGACCAAATATTTATTTTCGGCACACTCAACAACCCTTTAAATCGTATTTTGTTCAGGCTGGTAACCTCCCAAGTTGCTAACCTTAACATCTGCATGACTTAATATACGACTTGTTTAAATAAAATAAAAAAAGAGGGGGTGTGGCAGTGTCGGGATACGGCCGTGTGTTTTACGTAAATACATGTACGTTAACAAGTAATATTTTTACGTTCCCGGCACCGCTTCACTCTATCATATGGTGTTTTATGGGTATCACTGGATTGCTCTTAAAAAGCCCTTTCCAACCAAATACAACTACTATATTTTGATTAGGCTTTTCGACAAGTATAGGCCGACATTGTATTAAGTTTTCTTAATTTTTAACTTTAACACCATATATATTCACCATAACTATTCCACACTAATGCAAGAATAATTGTTTTTATGTGATCCCATAAAATTGTAGGCATAAATTCCCACTGTCGTCCGTCTGACGGTCTGTTCTTCCTTAATCTCGAGAAGGGAGAAAGATAGATGAAAATCGAGATAGGTGTGGAAATCGTAAGAGAAAAAAAACAAGATAAACTATAAATCAACTTCCAACTTTTACCAAGAGTTNAAAATCAACAAGACAGCCAAGGAGGCAAATTCCCTGACTTTCCAGGATTTTTTCCAAACACTAATGAAAATCCCTGATTTTCCAGTTGCATAAGAACCCTGTATATTGAAACTTGTTACATTAACACAATGATTTTTCTCTATTGTATCACATATATCATCAAGTTGTGAGATTATTTAATTTTATCCTTCTGAATAGAAATTCAATGATAAATATCTACATTAAAAAGCTGTCTAATTGGTAGATGAAGGATGGATACCTCTAACTTGTATAATTTATTTGAAATTAATTTTAAAACAGTATATAAATAGAATATAACAGCATCTAATCATAATTTTAAAAATACAACTGAGGTATTCTATAAATGAATCAATTATTATATTGATAATTTTATTAAAATAAAAATATAAATAAAATGCCTGCTGGGAATAATAGAGGATACAGATAGATTTATAATCATTGAATAGTTAAGAATTTAAACTGACTGAAAATGCAATATTTTGTCTATTTGAACATTATTTATTTTTATATTAAGGTTACATTGATACTTACTTACCTTCAGATTATTTTGAATAGGTGTGCCAGTTAACACAATTCGATTTCTAGCAGGAATATCATGAACAGCTTTTGTTGTTTTTGTTGGATTTTTGATTCTATGGCCTTCATCAAGAATAACATAATCCTGAAAGAAATATAATATCATCATTATTATTAATTGTATAAGCAACAAAAGGCAACAAGATACTTACCCAGACAAATTCACGTCCTTCTCGTTTAGATAATATTTCACTGTTTGTTATTACAGTTCCATAGCTTGTTAATAGAACACCTCCATAACGCTGAACTTTTATTAAATTCCTTTCACGTTTTCTCTTATTAGAACTATAAAAATTGCTTGTATTCATGCCAGGAACCCTTTAATATTCAAAATAAGATTCTTCGTAAAATATTATTTTTAGTATATAATTTTATTATACAGTTTCTAAATATTTCATTTTAATTGTTGCTGTGATATTGGTCCCAATGTTTCCAATGAAATGCCAAGGAATGTACAGTACACAAGCCAGAAAATCACAAGATCACATGTGATTTATATGAATAATAAAATACTCAATAATGAGATTAAGGATTGTGTTAATGAAAGGAAAAATAACACTATGTTAAATGAAGTATAAGAATCACAAAATTATATTTAAGATGACAAAATATCTGATTGATTGAATTTACAAATTGAATTATTGAGTTTACAATAGAAATGTAAATTGAAAGAGAAAAATCCACTGGGAAAAAAGCATCTCAGATAAGGTATGAATCCTTGCATGACCCTCACAGACTCTTGGTCATAGTTCAAAGAGCCAATCAAAGAGATAAAATTTGACTATCCAACAGAAAAAGTTCACAGGAGATGCTGGGAATATTAAAACAATTTAAGAGAGACAGACAAAAAAGATTAGGGGTGAGATGAAGATAGACTCCCATACTCATAACTTCAAGAAGTCCTCTGAACTGACCAGAGAATTTAAGAGAAGACAATTATCCAAAATAGAACTTTTCATCTTTACTGTGGGTTTGCCGACAAGTGGGAGCATCAATTCATCCCCAGGGTGAATGAGTGGTGATAGTATATATGTAGGAGAGTGGACATGGAAACAAGTCTCCTTCCAAATTAACCCATTTATTAAAACATTTAAAAGGAGCATACAAAACTTCCTGTAAATCAATTATAACTTTAAGTCCAGATGTGTAAGATCATCCATTCCATTACATGTCCTTTGGCAAGGTAGATGCTCTGGAGCAGAGTAGATCCAAAAGGTTGAGTTGAGTCAAAGAACTGGATACAATCCTTGGTTTGGGTTGGTACAGAAGATGAGGCTGGCACACAGGCACAAACAATGTTCAGAACACACACTGATCTTAAGCATATATTTAAGTACAACAGTTGAGAAAAAAGTATACCTGGACAATTGGTGGGGAAGAAGTCGAGTGCCCACTGTTTAAGTAGGGTTTTACTGAATTAAAGGAAATTGGATTGGGTTACTTCTTCATCCCTTGCTTCCTAATTGGTCATCTTTCTGCTTTTTGGGTGTAACCAAACTTAGATTTGGGTGCGAGAAAGGTTGACCATCTGCATACAATTTGTAAGGTCCCGGACGGATATTGAAATCTTATGCTTTTGATGACAAATATCCAGTGTTACAGTTAATCTTTCACCTTTCAAAATTAAAACAAAGCAAGACTTAAAGTGTATCTTAAACAATAAAAGTTCTTTTCATCAAAACAGAAAACAAGACTAGAATTACGAAGAGAATATCAAAGTTTGGAGGAATTTTAGATAATTGGAATCTGGTTAAGTGTTGATAATGACCTCTCCCATGCCTCGAAAGGTTTCGAATTGTCATCGGGAGATGGGGGAAGACCAATCAGAATGCAGAATAGAGGAAACCTACAAAAACGAATGTTTCAAGGACACGACATTCTTTGCTCCAAAAATTTGTTTTTCCTCCAAAATCTGCTATTCGTACTCTCATGGTTGTTCTATCTCCAAGGTTCATTCTTTCTCCAAGAACTGTTATATCCAAAGCTTAATAGTGAGCCCNAGACTTGGGGCTACTACCACATACAAACACCATTCACATGCGATGTGTAGTTTTGGCGGAAAAGTGAAATATAGGGACACACGCGTCCATTTATATATATATATATATATAGTTTTTTTTAATATATAAAAGACTGTTTCTTTTCCTGTACATAATCTTTCTCTGATTCGATGTATTTTCCTATAATTTTCAAGTTGCTCTTCTGTCTGATTATTTCTGTTTCGTTGATAATTTTCTCATAGCAATGTTCAACGTACTTCTCTTTCTTCCATGGTTTCATTTCTCCATGCCATCTTTTGCCTTTGAGATATGATTCGAGACCACAAAAATTCTTTCTTACGCTTTGGCATTGTTTTGTATATTTTTTACTTTCCACACTTCACTATTCACTTTTCACTTTTTTCTGTTATTTGTACACTTTTACTTATGAAAAATCAACTGAAGCATGTGTGTCACACGTCTCCAAAAGTCATCCCACTACTCACACATAACGGTCCTCAACTATTCCAAAACATTTTCGACTATTCAAAAACATTTAAGATTAAGATTACATTATAGCCAATCTTACCCGTTTTCACAGAATGCAAGAATTAGGTTCCCCGTTTCCAGACTAATTAGAGAATGTTTACATGGTCTAAAAATATGTTCAATTTCCCGCAAAAACACAAAAAACAGCATCTGCACCTGTAAATCTTGCACACTGCTTTCTCTTAACACTTCCTTTTTTTATTGAACACTTTCATTGTTACACATTTTAGAAGTCAACCACTTTCAACCCCATATCTCCCAAACCCTTATAGCTATCAAGACACAACCACCATAGTGCACGATGGGAGACTTAGGGCTACTACCACACACAAACACCATTCATGTGCAATGTGTAGTTTTGGCTGCAGAGTGAAATATAGGCACAAACACGTCCATTTATATATATATATACATTATATAATGGAATGGAAAATGATATTAGTAAAAATATTTTTCCTACATTGTAAGCTTACAAATTTTGTATATTTTTCAAATTTTTAATAATGTAATATTTAATTACTTCTAAAAATCTTTCTTCTTTCTTTTCACCAATAAAACAATTTTTTCTCTGAAAATACAGGTACCTCTCATAAACACAGTACTTCTACAAAATGATCTTCAGTTTCACTCTAACACAGTTTTGGAAATCCTCTGTACAACATTCCACAATTTTTATGTGTAAACTTTGATATATTTGTTTTTATTCAAGCAAGCACATGTATTGTCTCAAATTTGCCCATGAATTTTAGAATATTGTAATTTGTTTTGTGCTTTTTGTCAGGTTTACTGTAATGAAAACTGATAATGCAATTTCTTTCTTCCTTGTCCTAACTTTCTCATTGACCAGGTGTTGTTGTCATTGCTTTCAACTTTAGCCCTTAAGACTTGTCATTGTGTTTTATTTTTATAGATTAATCTTCATATTTAGTAAAGTTTGATTAAACATTTTTAGATAAGTGTTATTAAACTTTTTTTAAACTGTAGGTAAGCAATCATTTGTAAAATGACGAACAAAATACAGCAGTATGTCAGTACNTTTTCCATTCCATTATATAATGTATATATATATATAAATGGACATGTTTGTGCCTATATTTCACTCTGCAGCCAAAACTACGCATTGCACATGAATGGTGTTTGTGTGTGGTAGTAGCCCTAAGTCTCTCATCGTGCACTATGGTGGTTGTGTTTTGATAGCTATAAGGGTTTGGGAGATATGGGGTTGAAAGTGGTTGATTTCTAAAATGTGTAACAATGGAAGTGTTCAATAAAAAAAGGAAGTGTTAAGAGAAAGCAGTGTGCAAGATTTACAGGTGCAGATGTTGTTTTTTGTGTTTTGTGGGAAATTAAACATATTTTTAGACCATGTAAACATTCTCTAATTAGTCTGGAAATGGGGAACCTAATTCTTGCATTCCGTGAAAACAGGTAAGATTGGCTATAATGTAATTTTAATCTTAAATGTTTTTGAATAGTTGAAAATGTTTTGGAATAGTTGAGGACCGTTATGTGTGAGTAGTGGGATGACTTTTGGAGATGTGTGACGCACATGCTTCAGTTGATTTTTCATAAGTAAAAGTGTACAAATAACAGAAAAAAGTGAAAAGTGAATAGTGAAGTGTGGAAAGTAAAAAATATACAAAACAATGCCAAAGCGTAAGAAAGAATTTTTGTGGTCTCGAATCATATCTCAAAGGCAAAAGATGGCATGGAGAAATGAAACCATGGAAGAAAGAGAAGTACGTTGAACATTGCTATGAGAAAATTATCAACGAAACAGAAATAATCAGACAGAAGAGCAACTTGAAAATTATAGGAAAATACATCGAATCAGAGAAAGATTATGTACAGGAAAAGAAACAGTCTTTTATATATTAAAAAAAACTATATATATATATATATATAAATGGACGCGTGTGTCCCTATATTTCACTTTTCCGCCAAAACTACACATCGCATGTGAATGGTGTTTGTATGTGGTAGTAGCCCCAAGTCTCCATTCGTGCACTATGGTGGTTGTGTCTCGATAGCTATAAGAGTGCGGGAGATATGGGGCTGAAAGTGGTTGAAAGTGGTTTTCTATTTCGAATGTTATATTCGAATTTGTTCGAATTTAATTCGAACAATATTCGAATTTGAATTTGAACATAAAATTCGAATATTGGTTTGATTATAGAACGATTGTAAACGTTCCAGAAAATTGATCAAATTGAAAATAGTTCATTTGACTGGATGTAAAAATTCTCTAATTAGTCTGGAAACGGGGGACCTAATTCTTGCATTCTGTGAAAACGGGAAAGATTGGCTATAATGTAAT